AATCATGTATATATTGTGTTTTGGATAAAATTTTAATTGTTTGGAATGATTGATTGTCAAACTTCTTTGGGACTTGTGTTTTAGTTTTAGAAGAGTACTCATTAAGCTCCTGTTTGGTGGCCAGCTTTAATTTATTTTTTATACTCAATTTTAATCATACATTTATATAATAAAATATTCAACATGTAAATTTAAATATTTTTTCTACATTTTAACCATACATTCTCCAAAAAATACTAACCAGAACATATATTTTTTTTCAAATTAAAGCCCACCAGACAGGTTAAATATTTTCTTAGCTTTTGAATGGTGGGTATATATCATTTGCTTATGTTTATTATGCTTCGACCACTTTATATTTTTTAGGGCGTGTAATTCCTATTTGGCAAGAAAAACTATGAAGTTCAAGTAGAATATCTTAGGGTTAACATTTGGATTTATAGTTGTTCAAGTTACTAACCCATATGTCCGAGTTTCGACTTTTAAACTAGATCTCGTGTGGCGTAGAGCATATAATGACATGGTGGGGAAAGAAAAAAATCAGCTCACTCCAACGCTTTTTTCCGACGCCGCCTCTGATCAGAGCAAAAGACAAAAGGGTAACAAGGAAAAGAAACGAGGGGATGTGATGGGGGTTGGGTGATAACTCGGGTTGAACAAAAGAATGGAAGAAAAAATATTTGGGGTGAGAGAGGTTCGAACTCTCGACCTCAGAATAATTCTATGTAAAAAATATTCTAAAATTTTTGAAACTAGATTTATTGGATAATAAGGTCGCCAGTTACATGTGTCACTGAGTCTGGCTACCCAAAGTTCCTATCTTCTTTGAGCTTTTTTAACAGGATTGGAAAATTTTCAAACTAGAAAATTTTTTAGATTGAATTTTTTCTTCCAGCCAAAAGTGTACTACTTGTAGTCATTTAGTCATGAATAATGGTTGAAGGGCACTTTTATCATAGTGTCCTCTAGGCGGTTCGTGCAAGTTTGTCCGTGAAATGTTACATTGTCTAAATGGATCGAAAACTGTCAATTTTGTCTGGTTTAATGATAATATCTAGATTAGAATTTCTCTTCAACTTTGCCTAGTTTAACTGGAATGTCTATACTTTTTTTTTTTAATTCGTAAAAAAAAAAATGTTTATAATTTGACGAGAATGCCAAGATGGTTTCAATTTCGTGCAAAGAGGAAGGAAAATCGGGAACATTTTTAAAAAAAATGTGTTATACCCAGAAGAGGTTGTTACACCTCTGAAGACATGTAGCGCAAGACATGCACAAGTGCGTCCACCTCGAATTCATGGGGGCAAAACTGTTGGGTTTGTGGTACAAATTTGGTTGGATTCTTTTTTGGGAAAATATAGTTTCCTTTATTCCATGCGGTTTTTATTTTAAGAATAATGTTAGGGTTTTGATATGTCCCTTATGTATAGTTGACTCTTTTTTAAAATTTATTTTATTACTGAAAGTCATAATTATTGTGTATGAACACAATTATTATATTTTCTCTCCATTATAGTTGAATAAAATCTCAAATCCCTGCCAATTAAAATTCTTATCATTGTATTCATCTTGTCGTATACCCTCGTTCGGCCCCAACAAAAGTGGCTAGTCCAAAATCGCAAACAGAACATAAGAACAATTTCTATAACCATTGATAAAAAAACACTTCGAACTAAAAGATGAAAATAAGCCGATAGAGAATTAGATAACTAATGATCGTACTGAGGACCTCGGCTTGTCACCTCATCGTATAGTAAATTTGCTATTGCATTTTTTCTTTAAACACATTTTATTGTTTTTTCTTGAACAAAATGTGAAAATATACACTAAACAGAAAACCAATTAGTTTGTTTGCTCCAATCGTTCTCTAGTTTTTCTTTTATGAGGTTGGCTCGAAGAAGTCCGATCTCCCTCTTGATTCAGATTTGAACTTGGAGAGTCTGCTCCTAGTTTTGGGTTTGGAGGCATAGGAAAATTATCTAATTCTGAATACTTTTCTCATTATGGTGAAAATTTTGGAGTTGGTAATATTATAATTTGTGATGTGACCTTGAAAATAAGGTTGTTCACACCAGATGTTAGATTAGAGCAATCACTTGAAAAAAAGCGTAATAGCTTACTGTTAAGGGGTAAAATCTCATATCGAATAAAGATGAAAACATATACTAATTTATAAGAGTTTAGACTACTTCTCTTAATAAGGTTGATCTTTCAAGATGGAACCCTATATCTTAACATGGTATCAGAGCTCATTAACTTCCAACGAGCAATTCAATCTGATTAAGGCTAAAAAAAATTG